GAGGAAGGGATCCTCAGGCAGCGTAGAGAGGAAGGAGGCACAATGTCAGGCAGTTAGTTTGAGTGCTGCTCGAGGGGAGGGGAGGGGAGGGGAGGAAGGAAGGAAGGAAGGAAGGAAGGAAGGAAGGAAGGAAGGAAGGAAGGAAGGAAGGAAGGAAGGAAGGAACATTTCATTTTGCCTCTTAAAATTTCCATTCCCTCATCAGGAAAAAATACAAAGTACTTTACCATCTCTGGAAATTTTACTTTTCTAAATCTTATGTAAGCAAAGGTATGTGTTCTAGTAGTCTGTCACAGCTTCTCACCTGATTCACTGTGATTTAGCTCAGATATGGCCATGTTGCCTGATTTTATTAGAATTCCAGTCACACATGGGCACCTTTTGTATTCCATGGGCCAGTTTTTATGGAACACAGTTGCACGTAACCTTTATAACAAAGTGAGCGCAGGTGCTTTAAGGTGAATATAGTCTTTTTATTGACTACTGTGAGTAGAACAAACTAAATACATCTGTAACAGTTTCATTTCCTTTATACAGTACATTAAATAAGTTATGCACATGAAATATGTAACAAAATTTCCCTAGCATAAAATCAAATGACCCCTCCCCAAAAGAGAGAGAAAGAGAGACAGAGAGAACTGAATTCAAGAAGTTTTCCCATCATAGAATTTCACATCTTTCACTTCCATTTTCAAAAATCATCATAAATCATGAATGGTAGTATTTCATTTATGTACATTAAAATTAAAATATTTTTCTTTTAATACACAGCAAGCCATTGTAGTTGCATGGAAAGTTATGGAAGACTGTCTATTTACACACCATTTATCAGAATGTCACTTCTCTCTCCCTCCTCTCTCACACACACACGCGCGCACACACACAATCACACAATGTCTTTGGAGCTGATCTTGTGGTATTTAGTCCTTTTCAGACAATTCTATGGTTATTGGGATTTATAAGCTAATAAGTAGTTTCAATACTGTAGACTTGAATAGGATCTCTATATTTGCTGCAAACTCTGGGAATAGCCTTGGTAGTCTCCTCCAGCAACAGAAAATGTGTAATCTTAATAAAGCTTTTCAATCAAACTTCTAGGTATGTTGGGGTTCTTCTGCATATGAAGCAGGTGGCCATTAGAACAGGATGTTTTGATGAATTCCTGAACTTCACCATTAGCCAGCACACAAGAATGTTTCCTTACATCACTAGGGGATGGGTTGGCAAATGTTATATCTGGCTGTTTTTCTCTGCAGTTGCATACCTGGGCACGTGAACACATGTGAAACATGTGAAACATGTGAATCACATGGAAACACCTGAATCAGCCAAAAAAAAAATCATGGCAGTTCCCCAAAAGTTTTGTTTTAAAAGATCAAATCACTGCCACAGGACATGGTGGTGGCTACAAGTATGAACGGCTTCAAGAGGGAATTGGATAAACATATAGAGCAGAGGTCCATCAGTGGCTATTAGCCACAAGGTATAGATAGGAACTCTCAGTCTGGGGCAAGTAATGCTCTGTATTCTTGGTGCTTGGGGGGAGGGGCAACAGTGGGAGTGCTTCTAGTGTCCCGGCCCCACTGGTAGATTTCCTGATGGCACCTGGCATTTTTGGCCACTGTCTGACGGAGTGTTGGACTGGATGGGCCATTGGCCTGATCCAACACTGGCTTCTCTTATGTTCTTATGTCATATCCTGAAAGGCAATTGGCTGCAAATTTCAAATTATACCAACATACTTGTTTCTCAAAAGTAAAACCTTCTTAGTATTGACTCTCAAGCTAAGTGGAAGTGACATCTTTTGCTCTGCCTCGTACATCAAGTGCTCTGGTGTATGTACAATAAGGCCATGTACATAAAACTTCTATATGTGGATTTCCCAGTGGTTGTAGTTATGTATTAGTCCTCAGTTGATGTTGTGATTGATTTTATGTCCAACCAGGACACTAATGGGCAATTTGGCACACTTGATGGAGCATCATAAGACAAAGGATTTCAATTCTCTGGAAGAGTCATTCTAAGGATATGCTTTAAACACTGCAAAGATAACAGGCTGGTTGCTAAAGATGCAACCAGGCAAGCCTCAGCACCCAAAAAAGGTATGTCCAAATATTTCACTATGGCACCACACTGCTTTGTTTCCAATGCACAGAATCTTTAAACTGGAGTCAGCGGGTTAAAGGCAATTGCTTAGAGAACATGTGGAACCCCATTAACCTTAGATATATGCAAAAGTTTAAACACTAAAAATACAATGACCTAAACCTTATTTGGTTTAGCCATCTTGTTTGGAGAGAATAGGCTGTCAATTATACGATGGAATAATGCATGTGTGTGTGTTAATTTATACGCTGACAAGCCTCTAATAACATATTTAAAATCAACACTGTGTGTGGTGTGGTGGTGGTGAATGTCTTCAGTACAGCAAAATAAACCAGTTGATTTTGGGGGAAAGAGCAGCAAAAGGTGATCTGCAAAATGGCTGCATGACACCTCTCAATCTGTTAAGGCCCACAGACATATGTATAGATGGACTTTTTCACGCAAGTGAGGGATTAAAATGGGCCAAGTGAGACAGATCGTGATTCACACTGTCCAGGAAGTCGTTTTAGATCCTCCCTTCAGCAAACAAGAATAGCATCGTTCTGCCACCTCCTCCTCCTCCCCAAATCTGTCCACAGCTTGAGGGACAGGAAAAGGGTGGTAGTGGTGGGAGATATCAGAAATGTTAGATGGGGGAGGGGAAGAGAGAGAACAAAAAGTAGGCAAAATTAGCAGCTCATTGCCCTTGATGCAGTTTCCAGTCATGGCCCACCTGCCCTATGCCACTGTGTGTTTGTGCGTGCCCATCCATGGGCTCATGGGGGAAAGAAAACACCAAATTGAGAGCTCAGCAGTGCAGCAGCCACGGAAACTCACATCGATTCTCAAATTGATAACACCAAATTACCCCTTTAAGAAACTGCAGATAAAACAAGAAGCCAAAAAGTTCTCAGGGTCTGAGGAAACCCACTGCCTCCAAGTCCCAGGAGATCACTCTGGGATCCCAAGTGAGGAAAGCCATCATGGACTTCTAAGCCAGCTGGTTCTAAGGATGTGTGTGTGTGTGTGTGGGGGGGGAATGCCCCATAAGCATTAGCTCGAGTGACAATGTGCTGCAGTACAAATGTCCAACAACTGTTCTGAGGAGTCTGTTTTTTTAATGTAGAAAAACTAGGAAAACTAAAAAAAATGTGCTGGATCATCATCTCTCCTTTTAGAGTCCGTTAGTGTCTATCGCTGTCACAGAGGCTGGAGTGGAGGATCGAGAGGTGGTAGCCGAAGTTTTCTCTAGAGCTGGACTTGGGACCCCCTCGACTGCTTTGAGGGCGGCTGCTGCAGATCGGCCTGCTGGTAAGGGGAGTGGTTTGACCTGGCTGTGCAGGCCTTGCCCGCAGATTCGATGGTGTCTCTCCCAATCCTTGTGCTGGCAGAAGGAGCCACAATAGCGGGCAATGTTGCATCCACTGCATGTCTCACTGGCTTTGCGACCACAGTTCCAACAGCTCTGGGAAAAACAAAAACAACCTCCCTTTTACATTCATTCTCTGTTGTATGCATCAAAGATGACCAGGAAGGCACTACGGAAGATACTGCTGCAGGTGCTGATAGTGAGGAAGCAGTTTTCCCTTTCACAAATTAAATATGCTTTACCTTGATGTGGAATGGCTTCCCAAGCTCTTACCAAGTGGACGTTTGTGTACTGCACATATGCACTGAACACATCATAGAAAGACATAACGGGCTTAACATTTCTAGGTTCTTAGCAATCCACACTTCCTCCACTAAGTTTGTAACAACAGCTTGGATCCTATGTTTATTTGTTTGTTTGTTTTCAGTTTCTGCAGCTCCTGTCCTCTGCTGTGGAGGTGCAGCTCTGTTGCAGAGAATGTTCCTCTGTTGCTAAGGTCTTTATGCTCTTGCAATGAACAGAAAACATCTACCACTGGAGAAACATACTCTGCAGCAGAGCATTGCTTCTGTAACAGAGGACAGCACTGTGGGAATGGAAAAACGAGTTAGGATCCAAGCCACAGTTTCATAAGCAACCTTCAACTGATAAGCAATGCTCCCTCTAAGCTGTGGAGTCTTGTGAGCCAAAATTCTATTTGGTGAGCTATTGGCATTGAAGTTGTGAGCGAACGATTTGGCTACTGCATAAATTAGTTTGTTCTGGAGCCATCCTTCCTGAGCTAAGACAAAAATGTGTGAGAGCTGGAGGCTAAAAAACTGTGAGCTAGCTCACATTAACTCAGCTTAGAGGGAACACTGCTGATAAGCCATATAGGAGTTCTCAATTCTCTGGGACTTTTTGAAACCCCTGTCAACTACATGAAAACCTTCCTAGACCATGAGCTCCAACTTGGAAGTCAAGCACCAGGCTACCAGCAAATCAGCTGGTGGATTTATGGTGTGACCAATCGACAATGATGGCAAGAGGCCAAAGCAGCAGCTGGCCACAGAGAGGCGAATCAGCCTGGTACAGCTGAGTGTTTTTGGAGGGAGGGAGGGAGGGAGGGAGGGAGAGGTGGAATGGGGAAGTTTCTGCTGTGGCAAAGTGTCTTTTGCTTTGCATTCTTTCCTCTACATTTTACAGGCTACCAATGTTTCTGCATATCCAGAGGGTAACACTTAGAAGTACTCTAAGCCTCTTAGACATTCTTAGACACTGCTGACATTCTTTCCTGGGCAACTGTTCCCATGCAGTGGAAGTCAGCAGGGGAAAACAGCAACTCTCAAAAGTCTAAGAACACAATTACATCTAAAATAACACTTCTCTAAGGGTGTTGGAGGCTTGCATCAAAGAAGACAAGAGCATTCCATGCTGGAGATAGGAGCCTTAACACATCTGAGACTGAAGCAATAATGGACTTTAATTTAATAAGGACAAGACACTGATGAGTCTAGGAAAACCATGGGTATGCTCCTTAAAATGTTGCCTGGGGAATTCTCCCATGCTTTCCAAAATGTGCCAGGGGTATTTCCTTGGTGCCTTACCTCCGTAGACTCTTCCTGCTCATTGATCACTAGGAAAGCATCCTCAGTTGCCTGGCGCTTGGCATCCGCAATAGTTTGCTCCATTCGGGCCCTCTCAGATGCAATCATTTCGAATGCCTTCTGCTCGGCCTCTGCAACAGCTTTCTGGACTTCAGACATGGCTTGGCGCTTCACCTCATTCACAGCTTCTTCTAAAAGAAAACAAGAGCCTCATCAAACAGCTTTGCAGAGGAGGCAAAGGACAGCGTGGAACAGGGTGCCTGATAGGAATGCAGAGATTTTGTATGCCCTTCAGCCCGATTTGTGACTGACACCTCAGTCACCTCCATGTCCAATAGGATTAAATGGTAAGGTGGACAAATGAGGCCAAAGGCTATGAGAACAAAGAGAAGAAAAAAGGAGAACAGCACTGAACAATATAAATCTTCAACGAGTGCCCAAGGCCTTGGAAAATGAACGATGCTTTTCTGCACTCACAAAAATGGGATGCAAAATGAGCAAAGTACTTGCAGCCAGTGTTCCCTCTAAGCTGAGTTAGTGTGAGCTAGCTCACAGTTTTTTAGCTTCTGGCTCACACATTTTTGTCTTAGCTCAGGAAGGACGGCTCCAGAGCAGACTAATGTATGTAGCAGCCAAGTCGCTCGCTCACAACTTTAATGACGGTAGCTCACAAAGTAGAATTTTTGCTCACAAGACTCCACAGCATAGAGGGAACATTGCTTGCAGCCATTCAGCTAAGTTGGACAACAAAGCCCAAAATGGCCACAACCCCATACAGAATTAGACATGTTTAGATCCATTCATTTATTTTGATGCTGCTTTGAGTGTAGCCATGCAAAGCTGTCATGGACTGAATCAGACCACTGGTTCAGCAAGGTCAGTATTGTATACTCTGACTGGCAGCAGATTTCCAGAGTCTCAGGTACAAGTCAAACACTGCTTGGTTCTTTTAACAGGAGATGCTGCAGACTGAACCTGGTACCTTCCTGCATGCAAAGTAGATGCTCTGCCACTAACCCACGGCCCATGTGTATGATTTGAATTTCTATGGAGCCGCACCTGGCTCTGTTTAGCTGTCCAATATAAAAACACCCTCTCTTTGTAGAAAAGATATTACTGCCAATACGAGAAGCAGAACACTACATAGTTGGTGAATTCCCTCTTACTTTTGCTTATTTCATCTTCTCCCTTTTAAAGCTGTCTAGAAGGTCAGTTAAACAAACTGCTTAAAAATAATTAGGAGATTTTAACAACATACTGTTTTAGAAACTGTTACAAACCACTGTTAAAGCATCTGTCAGCAGCCTGATACCTTGTCGTATCAAACAACAGAGAAAAGACTGTTAAATTTGTACAGAGAAATTATTCTTTTGACAGTGGCCACGAGCGACTGGGGATCTCTGAACACTCTGGAAGGAGAAGATGAAGATGGTCTACCCTTTCACCTGCTTGTTCCTTCTCTGCACCAGAGCTTCCTTCTTTGTTTGTATCCCCCAATCCCCACCTTTCTTCTACGTATCCTGGGCCAGCTTTCTCCCTGGAGGAAAGCTGGAACAAGGACCCTGTGGGCACCGTGAACGCTGGCATCTCTCTAAGGAACTCCCAGCCTGGCCATGCAAACAGAAGTGGAACCATCTGCATCTCTGGAAGTGGCTTCCCATGGGACCCACCGGATGCAGATGCCCAACACTCACTGGCTGTTGGGCTCAGGCTCTCCAGGGTCAAACGGCTAAACAGCTGTGGGTCCAAGTGAGTGAATTTGTTGGAGGCAGAGGTCATTTTGGGAGGGATCGCGGGGGATCGCAGTTCCCCCGGGTGAGGTGCGGGGGGCAGGGCACATGACAAAGCCCCGCCCCCTGCTTCCGGCCCTCATTCAGCCAGGAGGAGGCAGGAGAAGAGGGAGGGTAAGTTGCTTCCTCCCTGCCTCTTCCCACCCCTGCCTGCCTGGGGCCAGGGAGGGCCTTCGCGGGGCTTCCTTGCACTCCCGCCGGCCTTGCAGGTCCACCGCTGGGCCCCTCATGGGGCTCGGCAGTGGAGCTGCAAGGCCGGTGGCGGCTGGGACCGTTGGGGGCAGGGTATGTGGCCTTATGACACACTTCCAGTGATGTCAGGGGCAATGTTCCCTCTAAGCTGTGGAGTCTTGTGAGCAAAAATTCTATTTTGTGAGCTACTTGCATTAAAGTTGTGAGCGAGCAATTTGGCTCCTACATAAGTTAGTTTGTTCTGGAGCCATCCTTCCTGAGCTAGGACAAAAATGTGTGAGCCGGAGGCTAAAAAACTGTGAGCTAGCTCACGCTAACTCAGCTTAGAGGGAACACTGGTCAGGGGGTGTGGCCTTATAACACATTTCCGGTGATGTCAGGAGGTGTGGCATATGCTAATGAGTTCCCCTAGCTCTTTTTCTACAAAACAACCCCTGGTTGGAGGTTCTGATTATTATTACTCTTCATGGAAGGAAACAGCAGCATTATTAGAAGGGTCTCAAGGGTCTCTCGAAAGTCAGGGCCTGCCTGAGGAAAGACTGGCTCCATCAAGGACAGAGTTGTTACCTCCACCCTGCTCTGCCCTCCTTTCCACCCTGATGAAGGCTGGTAGTTTTGTAGTTGGGTAATTTGCATTTTGTCAGATTGGATGTTTTCTTTGTTTTGGATGTGTGTGTGTGTGTGTGTGTGTTTATGTTTCTTTCTTTTTTAACTTTGTACGCCATTTGGTGCCTGTACTGAGCAGAGAGAAAATGGTTAAAACGCCTAAATAAATAAGCAAGCAACCAAGCCAGCCCACCAGCCAGTCTGTGGTGTATAAGGATTTCCTTCCGGTCTCGTATAAGAATACAGTTCTCCTCAGAAAAGCCTTTCAGCCCTCGATGTTATGAAGCAACATCTGGCAGTTTTTAAAGGATATTTTCAAAAAAACTCTGCTTCTGAAGATCTGTGACGTGCTATTACTGGCTGTTAAAAAGAACTATGGTTGAAAGATGTTCAAGCAACTTAAGATGATTATTTTTTTCAAATGACTGTATGAATTTGCACCCCAGATACTAATTAATGGATGAACTTGTGCTAAGGTATTTATGAAGTTGCCAGAGCAATACAAGTGGCTTTCCTGAACTTCTTTTAAAAACATTTTTAGTAATTTTAAAGGTATACTTTAAAAAAAACTACATGGTTCTATCTCAACTCATGTTGGTATCTGAAAAATCTCTGTCCCAGAACATCCCATGAATGCCAGTGTGCCAGTGCCAGTGCCCAGTGTGTGTGGGGAGGGGGCCACCCTCCCAACAGGACCTCTTCAAATACGTACCGGCTTTCTTCCAGATCTCTTCAGTGACATAGCCGGCTGCTCCTGACCTGCTACTAAACTCACGTTGAGAATCTGTAGAAAGAAGGGTTGCATACACAGAATTAGACACCAAGATACCCCTCCCACCCTAGCTATGAGAACTGATACACAGCATTTGTTCAGCAAGAGATAGTGCTGAAAGAAAGGATAGAGTTAATTGCTTAAACCAAGCCAAGAGATTTCTGCAGTTAAGAGTGTTCACCAAATAGCACGATGATAAATGACCGCTTTTAATTTAGTGCCCTACATAATTTATTGCACAGCATAATCCGTTTCCATCTCTTAATACTTCGTCATCAGAGGCTATGTTTATAAATATCCTGTCAGGCATCTGTTTTGTCCTGCTATAGCGAACATTAATCCGTGCTAACGGCAGCCTGCCTTTTACACAGCACCTTATATTTCCAAGAACTTCAGGCAACTGAAGTGCAAGCTGTATTTTGTGGGGTCTGTCACTTGAGAACTGGAAAAGCAGTGCCCCCACATACAGATACATCATGGCGGAAACATCAAGATTGACAGCGGGAGATGTTGGGGCCAAACATACTGGGCTGAAGCCTTGGATCTCTTCTGCTAGGGGTGGTGCTTTCCTCTGGCAAAAGGAGCCTTCCTCTAATGCCAAACAGCCTCTTCCACGGAAGGGAAGTGCCAGTGCCTGTCCTACATTCTCACTGTGCTCATTTGCTAGACGAGACAACTGGGTGCACACAGGCTGTGCTGTGATGCCTGTCTGCTCTATAAATGTAAATGTGCCTTATCCATCAATCGGGAGAAAGCAGAGGCTGAAGCATCACTCAGCTCTGAACTGGACCTCCACTCTCATGTGCCCTCCTTGCCCTCCGCCTCCCACACGTCCTACTGCCAGTACTCCCCTGCCCGCTGTTCACTCTCGGTCTTACTACCCACTTGAAACCTCTCTGCACCTGAACACTCACATCAAGCCAGCTCTCACTCTTCTAAACTTTCCACAAAGACACTCCCAGACGGCCATCCAGAGCCTTATAGCAATTCCATTCCTTCTGCTATCACATTATCCCCATGAATGCTTTTCTAGAGCCAACCAAAATGCTGTCAAAAATGCCGAGAGCCAACATGGCATAGGGGTTAAGAGTGGTGGACTCTAATCTGGAGAACTCCACTCCTCCACATGCAGCCAGGTGGGTGACCTTGGGTCATTCACAGCTCTCTCAGAGCTCCCTCAGCCCCACCTACCTCACAGGGTGCCTGTGGTGGGGAGAGGAAGGGAAGGCGATTGTAAGCCACTCTGAGACTCCCTTCAGGCAGTGAAAAGCAAGGTATAAAGACCAACTCTTCTTCTTCTATGGCGTGGAAGCTTTACAGCTCTAAAGTATGAAGGGCAAATCCAGGAAAAAAAAAGGAATGCCCCAAAATCCTGGGCAGAAAGAAGCTGTGGGACTCATTCCCTGATCATACGTGACTAATGGTGTAAAGCGTCTCAGTTCCTATATAAATGCTGTCAAGTTGCAACTCACTCATGAGGTTTTCAAGGCACGCCTTCCTCTGCATAGCAGCCCTTGTCTTCCTCAGTGGTCTCCCCTCAAAGGACTAGCCATGGCTGACCCTTCCAAGCTCTCTGACCAGCTCAGGTGAGTCGATATTTCCATTATTTATTCCCACTATTCCACAGTATTGTTTCCACTTCTATCACCCAGCACTGTTTTCTTATTTTTTTTAAAAAAAAACTTCTGCAAATGAAAACTCCAAAAGTAGACAAAACAGTAAGAGTCTTCACATAAATGACTAGCTGTGGATACTGAGACACTTTCCAGCCTGGATAGGCAAGCCCAAGGACTGCATCGTTTCCTTTCCTCCAGTCTTGAGAATCCACCTCCAAGACCATTTTCCTTAGCCCTGGCAAAGCTTCAGTTTGTATCCAACAGCTGAACTGAAAACAAACTTAAGCTAACAGAACATTTTCTGCACGTACAGAAGCTTGCTTTACATTGTGATCTATTTTAGAACTTTTCAGGAAGAAGGGATTTGACTCACAATATGCCAGCTCTATTTATTTATTTATTGTTTCAACTTTTACCCCGCCCTCCCTGCCGAAGCAGGCTCAGTTCCTATGAACTAGGAAAACCCAACATAGGTGACTCAGAG